TTTATTACTCTGTCACCCTCTACGCCGTCCTGCCCGCTTTGACGTTGACATGTGGTTTGATCATTTTACTTATCAACTGTACTCACTTATTCACCTTTAACGAATACAATTATATTCCGATTTATACCACTTAAACTATACTCCAAAGAAAAACAAAAACAAATGTCAAACATATTCATTTCCACCTCAGGAATATTCCGATGGGATCCCCAGCATACTTGAAGCTCTGTGCAGGAACGGTGTATTTTTTCTGGAGGCCCAATATATATATTTCAGTCTCCTGGCTGACTTTAATATTGTACTATGGGCTCACCAACTATTTAAAGGCCATTATCCATCAATACACACCATAATATATATACAGTACTCATTGGTATTTTTATTTGTGCCCAGTACGTGCATACAACTGTTTTACTCACATATGGGCCACAAACCGGCCACAAACACACGTTCTGAGCTGTGGCGAGACGCGCCCACTCGCTCGCCGGCGTTTGCCGACGAGTTGATGCGGACGATTAAGGTTTTCCTGCATCACTGTGTGAAGCGTTCTCCACTTTGGGCGGCACAGGCTAGAGGCTTACAGGGCCCAGGAACCTGGCCACCCTATTGGCGGAGTGAGACTAAGGTTCAGCCATGCATTCGCGGGCGCCCAAATCACTCTTGATCCTCTACCACCACCATCTCTGTCCGCTGCTCGGCGATCACTCATCTGTGCACTGCTTGACTGAAGCACTATCCGCACTGGGAACATTGCTTCACCCCTCTGTAGGCTCAACACTATGCATTCAGTGTGACTTCTGCACTGGCTCATTCATCTGCTGGTTTCTCACAAGCAGACTCTGACCTTCCCAAATACGCTTGGCTTCGATAATGTCCTCCTCAGAGGTTCGTCTTTGTGATCTATTCGACGTTGTGGATTTAAACTAATATGGCCCGCTGTGTCACACTTGGGCCTCAGCTGGAAGTGAGTTAGTTTTATGTCCTCTTTACATATGGTCACATTCATGTACTGCTTATTTTTGGGACAGGATAAGGATAGGTTTAGTCCTGGCTCTTGTTTCATCCCCGGAAAGTCAAAATACCGTGTGATCTTCATCGGAGAACCGCGCGCCGCCTATGTCCCTGGAACTAATGATTACAAGCCGTGGGTCCAGATGGAGTATATGGACATGGACATGCCGAAGGATATCGCCCAGTGGTTCCGGGTTCACTTTCCGAATCATGTTATGGACACTCGGCCAAAACCCACAAAGGCAGAGAAGGATAAACTGGATGTAAACGAGGAGGAGAGGTTGCTCATGTTTGAGTGGGTGAGTGTTCGTTTTTCTGTAGATGTTCTATCTGCTGTTGTCAGCGCTCATGCTCCACATTTCGCAAACAGTGTGTGTTGCTGTGGAGTCTGATGAGCTCATCAGTAGAGTTTGAGATCAGTGTTGTGGGGTATGAGCAGTTCCGACGCTGTCTGACATCCCCCTCACATACAACAGACCCGCTCTGGCTGTCCCTGTGCCTGGCCGATGTCGTACTTGGTGGATTACATCTTGAGATCGACTTCCAGTGAGTTTTATCACTATCTCAATACCTTGTCCAATTTTTTCAACTGTCATCTGTATGACTGAAAAGGTTAACGGAGTTCAACATTACTGCTGATCAATTCCCCGTATATGTCCACTCCATACTGGAGCTATCTCGGTTGACTTGTGTTTTCCCGCCGCCTCAAGAGCTTCTTGCATTTGGCAATAAAGTCTACCACGAGGCCAACCTCGATGCCCTCGCTACATACAAAACCTTCACATTCCGACCCGCCTCACGTTGGATCGATCCTGACGGCCCTATTCCCCAGCCGGGTGAGGGCGTGATCAAGAGGGGGTATTCAAGTGCGAATAACAATGTGCATCTTCCGGGCAGCCGAAAGGCGCCTATCCAACGGAAGGGGGATGTGTACCGGGAGTGTTGGTTGTGGCAGCAGTTCAATCCTCTCCTCGTCAATCCTTGTTTTGGAGAGGTTAGGATATACATGGTGGCGGGAGAGGTCATGTACGCTATACGCACGATACCGATCAAGAAACAAGAACTTTCGTGGAAGCTGGTGACCGGCGTTGTTCCGTTTGATTTCCTTTCTTCAGGGTAAGTGATCCAGTTCATTCCACTCTGTATACATGACAAGGCTCTGAGACCCTTATGCAGCCGATTCAGTCGCACAAAGGACATCTTCGACCCAAGACACCCGGGTGTCAACAGGCTCGATTTGGCCCGCGGTCTCAAAGATCTATACGACTTTGCCAAGACGACGCTCAAAGCGCTGATTGTGATGGAGGAAAATCAGCTGAAGTGTACCTCCAGTCTCAATCTTTTCGCCCGGGTGGACATTGGAGTTTACGAGTTCGAAACCAATCAGTTTTGTTGGTATGTTAACGAGGTCACGAGGGGCATGGGTATGACAGCAATGTTTGGGATGTGCCAGCCGGGAGAGCTGATGAACTTGTTTGCGGAAATGAGTCGTGTATTTCCTTGGTACATCGACCATGCTTCGCCGAACATGGTCATGACCCCGGATGAAGACATGGTGGAGAGGATGAGAGGAATGAATCTGTGAGGGGCTGGAACCAATGTGCCGCACGTTTGTACGAGTTTGGACAATTGATGTGTGCTTTGAAATGTACCCACTTTTTCACTTGTTGTTTGTTGTATTGCTGCTTGAATTGAGGGTAACTATGACTGCATACTTTAAGGATTTGAAACCATACCAGCAATCTTGCCTTAGTGTCAACACCACACAATAAAATATGCAGTAGAAAATTTGTAGTTGTAGTAGTAGTGTGGAAACCACACTACGAAGCTTGTAGTCGTGGTACCGATACCACACTACGAATTTTGTAGTCGTGGTATCGATACCACACTACGAATTTTGTAGTCGTGGTATCGATACCACACTACGGATGTTGTAGTCGTGGTATCGATACCACACTACGAATTTTGTAGTCGTGGTATCGATACCACACTACGGATGTTGTAGTCGTGGTATCGATACCACACTACGAATTTTGTAGTCGTGGTATCGATACCACAC